AGAGTTAGGGCCCAAGGGCCCACAGATTTATAGCCTCGAGTGGCTAGTATGTGTTATGTGTGGTATTTTGGGGAACTCAATAAGCTTTATGCTTACAGTGTTATGTGTTACGTGTTTCAGGTACCAGTGATGATTGCGGGAAGGCGCCGACATGATCTATACACACGCCCACGAAATTTATTATGATTTGATATTGAGAAATGTTTTGTGAACAATGATATGATACAACGAGATTTTATTAATGAATGTGTTTGGAAATGTGTTTTAAAATGTGAAAACTTGTCTTAAAATTTACGGTGTTACACATTATGCTTTATATTGTTCCATTAGAGGTACGAACCTAGGGTGCCATTTTAGAAGCTGTTTCACCAAAAGAAGCATTATGGACGTTGAATGAGTGCAAAGACTGGACCTTTACGTGATTATCGAGCTTTAGGAAGTTAGATCTACAGGTTAGAAAAATATATCTAACCTCAAAAGGTCAGATGAGTGCGGCTATGGAAGAAACTCGCTGAGTCCATAAGAGAACTCGACGAGTCGAGTCGAGGATGCCCCGCGATTCATGACTAGTGGTAACTCGTCAAGTGGAAGGTTCACTCGATGAGTCGAGCAAGGCTTTAGAAGGATCTAGAGGACACGCTTGGACTTGCCGAGTCACCCATGTGCACTCGACAAATCTGGTCAAAGTTTGACCGTTGACTAGAGTTGACTTCAATTGACCTTGGGGTTTTGGTCAAGCTGAATCTAGAGGGGACAGGAAGGGGTAAAACGGTCTTCTACCCAATCTTTAGGGATGAGTACTAGAGAAATTATTGATTAGAGATGTTGTTATTTTGATAGGAGGAGGAGGCTAGGTCGAGTTATCGAGCTAGAGACTATCTAACATCGTACGAGGTGAGTCTTCTCACTATACATTACCTAGAGTGGTATCTATATGCAGACCGGAGGGTCTTATGTGTATGTGTATGTTTGTGATTATGTGCAATGTGTTATATGTATGCTATGTGATATATAGACCGGACTAGAGGGTCCAACGACTCATGAGGCCAGAGGGTCCTCGATCAGACCGGACCGGAGGGTCCAACAAGCTAGACCGGACCAGAGGGTCCAACGAAATACGAGACTGGAGATCCCACTAAGGCACATTGACCGGAGGGTCATACCGAGTTACAGCCTCGAGTAGCTTATGTGTTGTATGTGGTATTTTGGAGAACTCACTAAGCATTTATGCTTACAGTGTTTTGTGTGATGTGAATAAGGTACCAATGAGGACCGTAGGAAGGCACCAGCATGATTTGTACACACTGATGGAGAATTATGTATTTGAGATTCTGGGATATGTTTATTTGAGATGAGATGTGACAATTGAGTTTTTGAGATGAATTATGTGAATTATGTTTGTTTTAAAATGAAAAATTGTTTTAAAATTTCATGTTGTTACAAGTTGGTATCAGAGCCTTGGTTTGAGGGATTCAGATGCATCTTCTGGCATATCTGAACTCAAACTGAGGATTTGAGAGAAATTTTTATAAAATAAACAATTTTTCTGATAAGTAAAAGATTTTGAGACATGCAGAATGGAGCAGTATGTATGATCAGCCAGCGCCCAAACGGTGATTTCCCAAAATACCCTTACATTATGTGATATGTTATGCATGCTAGAGTAGGCTAGGTATTCATATCGAGGATTAGAGTGGCCTGATTTGTGATGCTTTAGCCTAGGGGATTATTGCTACTTTGAGATGCTTCGAGAGTGAGTAGGTAGCAGCGAGGAGCTTACGAGTGGTCTATTAGAGAGTAGCATGTGATTAGAGAGATATAGAGTACTTGTGATCTGGGATCCGAGGAGGAGGACTTGGGGTGGATATTGATGCGGTGTGGAAGGTAGTATATGGCCGTACTACTGGAGACACTGGGTCGGTGAACAGTCCAAGTAAGAATCCTTTGAGTACCAAGGAACGAATAGGGTTGAGGATCGAGTACGAGTCTACTCGAACGAGTCTCTTATACGCCGCACACTAGGGGGCAGCGACGTTAGCGACAAGGAGATTCGTCAGATGATACATGACAAGGTTGCCGTGGCGATCCGGGAGGCTATTCCGGAGATGTTTGGGTCTATCAAGACCACGCTGATTGAGACGTTTGATGAGAGGTACAATGTTGTTACCGAGGTGGCTGCTGCTGCAGCCACATTAGTTGTTGTTGTCGCGAAGCCACAGGGGGGTGACTCATTGCTGTACCTAGAGTTCAGCAACATGAAGCCACTAGAGTTTGATGGGACTCAGGATTCGATAGCCGCGATGAGGTGGATTTCAGACATTGAGGGATGCTTCTACACCTGTTCTTGTTCGGAGCATCTGAGGGTTCGGCTCGCTTTGAACCAGCTTCGCTTGGGAGCGAAGGATTGGTGGAAATTTATGACGGCTGATTTCACTTCTGCAGAGATTACAACGGTGACCTGTGAGAGGTTCACCACCATGTTTTGAGATGAGTATGTTCCCCCGGTGGAGAGGGAATGGATGGCGCAGGATTTCTTGTCCCTCAAGCAGGGGACAGAGTCCGTGACTGTGATTACATGGATGTTTCACGAGTGGGTGTTGTTTTGCCCTGAACACGTGTCATCTGAGCAGGCACGTATGAGCCGATATTTGAGCATTTAGAGGAGGGAAATTCGAGAGATTGTGGCAAACTCGACTTACCGGAAATTTGCTGGAAGAGGGATATGAAGCTAGAGACTTAGGCCAGGGAGGATGTTGAGTCTCAGAGGAGGGACAGGCGACCTGGACAAGTACAACCGGCAGCCAAACGGGTAAAGCCCGCTGATTCGAGATCTGGGGTTCAGAAGGGCCGCACTTGTGGGAAGTGCAGTAAGAGCCATGAGGGAGTGTGCATAGTAGGAGTGTTCTACAAGTGTGGCAAGGAGGGGAATTTCGCGAGGGATTGCCCCAAGGGGTTTGTAGTTTGCTTTCACTGCAATCAGACCGGCCATCAGAAGGCCGAGTGCCCACAGTTACTTCAGGGATCAACACAAGGATCTGCATCTACTGCTAGAGCTACCGAGGTCCGGCCAGCGAAGGCCAAGACACCGAAGGCTCACGTGAGAGCCTTCCAGTTGACAGCGGAGGAGGTCCGCGCAGTGCCCGATGTCATGGTTGGTATGTATTCTTTCATTTATTTATCCTGAGTTAAGATATTGTGCTTATATTATGATATGCGTAGGTACTTTTATTGTGAGTTCTGTCCCTACTTTGGTGTTATTTGACTCGGGTGTGATTCGATCACTTGTGTCGTTGGCATTTAGTCAGCACATCAGTATTCGACGAGAGGCGTTGAGTCGATCTCTGCGAGTTTCTATAGCCGACGAGCGAGCGGTGGATGCCACAAATTTGATTCGAGGATGTGTACTTGAGATTTTTGGTGTTAAGTTCCCGATAGATTTGGTACCATTTATAATGGTTTTTTATTGAACTTTTCCATATATATATATATAGGGTTACGTTCATTTGAGACTACCTATATTTTGCGAGACCGTGAGACGCATTATTTTATTTATTTATTTATTTTTTTAGTTAATTCAAGTTCCGAAAATAATATTTAAAAAAAGAATTTTTGGATTTTTCCATTTATTTTGCATTTTAAAATTAATTTTTAGAATATGTACAGTGTAATATTCTATTAGAATATTTCACGTATTTAAAAAAAACGGGATTTTTTTTTAATTTTTTTTAGTTAATTCAAGTTCCGAAAATAATATTTAAAAAATAATTTTTAGATTTTTCCATTTATTTTGCATTTTTAAATTATTTTTTAGAATATGTACAGTGTAATATTCTATTAGAATATTTCACGTATTTTTCAAAAAAAATGAGATTTTTTTAAAATTTTTTTATTTTAATTCAAGTTCCGAAAATAATATTTAAAAAAAGAATTTTTAGATTTTTCCATTTATTTTGCATTTTAAAATTATTTTTTAGAATATGTCAGTGTAATATTCTATTAGAATATTTCACGTATTTTATAAAAAAAAAACGGGATTTTTTATATTTTTTTAGTTAATTCAAGTTTCGAAAATAATATTTAAAAAAAGAATTTTTGGATTTTTCTATTTATTTTGCATTTTAAAATTATTTTTAGATTTGGTCTCACGGTCTCACAAAATTAGAATGATCTCAATTGAATCGTCAAAAATTTCAATAAAAAAAATCATAAATTAGTTAAATTTGTGATAATTCGTAACAAAATTAGGATGGTTGATAACTAAAATTGTGAAAAGATCCTCCATTAGTTAAAAATTATAATATATGATTATTTAAATAGTTTGATGATTGAATTTATCTATGGTTATTTACTTATTTTGTTAGGATATGAGTAATATTTATTTTTTTAAAAATAAATTATAGTACAATTAAGGGTTTCCAGCTAGACACCGATTTATCCTCGCATAGACTGATTAGTTCTTTAATACCAGTCGACCGTCCGACAACTATCCAATCATAAACCATAAGAAAAAGATGTCGAGAAAAAAGATGATCTAATTCTTGTAAAATTGATAGATACCACAAGACCAAATGTTACTTAGGCCAAATGTTACTTAAGAGATGAAAGAAGAAATGAAGAGCCTTATCCTAGTCCATTAAGACAACCATAGATTCTAGGGACAAAATCATTTTAAAGGGGATAAAATCATAACACTCGACATTTGGGGTTAAAATTTTATAATAGTTAAATTAATTAATGATTCACTTAAAAATTATTTTGAAAGGGCTCTAATGAAGGTGTTTCACAAATTTGAAGATGTTGGTGAGCTTTCAAGAATAGAAGACACATATATGACATTCACTTACCAACACCTTTCTTAAGTTGGATCTGAATTGTATAACAGATGTTAGGTTCCTGAATAAAATTATTAGACTCCTAATGTTAAGAAATTCTCATCTTGAGTAAATGTAGTACATAGTTCAAAGATGAAGGACTAGTCGTGTGCAAGTGTGAAAGTTAGATTGACTTAAGCCTCTTTAGTTTAGCATTTCAACAATGTACATTCCAATATCTAACAAATCATACAGCAACAAGAACAAAAGTTGAAAACTACAACGCTATAAATTGATATAATTGTTTAAATACATTATAAAAGCAAATTGTTAATCTTCCATTTATCCCACAACATGATCATCATCAAATAAGAGAATCATCATCTTCATCATCAAACACCTTAATTTCTTCAATCATCCTAACAACTTGATCCATCTTAGGTCTCGTTTCCGCATTCTTCCCAACACACGCCATGGCTATCTGAAGCATCTGCACCATCTCTTCTTCAATATTCGCATACTTCATCAACTCCACATCAAACACCTCCGCCGTCCACTCTTCCCTCACCACCGACTGCACCCACCGCGGGAGATCCACCACCTCCTCCGGCCCTACCGCCGCCTGAACCGGCGCTTTTCCGGTGAGTATTTCAAGTAGGAGAACACCGAAGCTGTAGACATCGGATTTTTGAGTTGGTTTTTTGGATTCTATTGTTTCGGGGGCATGGTAGCCTGAGGTGCGAGGGGGTAGGGTAGGTATACCCATGATTTGGGTCAACCCGAAATCTGTGACCCGGGCATGGTTTCCTTGCGTGATTAGGATATTCGATGATTTGATATTTCCATGAGTTAGTTTTGAATTGTTTCCCGAATGGATATGAGCGATTCCTTTTGCAGTTTCTAGAGCAACTCGTAATCTCGTGTCCCAATTCAGTGTTCTTCCTAAACCCCTGTTACCTGTGTTCAAGATCGATTTTAAGGATAAACGTAACAAATAACAATATAAAATTAGGGTTTTTCTTATCAGATACCATGTAATAAAGCAGACAAGCTTCCGGATCCTGCGCAATCATAAATCAATAGTTTTTCATCTTTGGAATAATAATAAGCAAGAAGAGGAACAACATTTGGATGCTTCGCTACACTTCCAATAATCTCCATTTGTTGATCGAATCCTCTTTTTCCAACAACAACTTCTTTCAATCTTTTAACCACAACCATTGTCCCTTCACCTAAAATCGCTTTATAAGTTGTTCCATAACCACCTTTTCCCAAAACCTCTGCGGATGCTCTAAGTAAGTCTTCAAGGTCAAACTTTTGAGATGACACATCGAAGAAAACCAATTTGTTCCTTAAATTCTCTTGCAATCCACTACTAAAGTCCTCTTTAGGTGTCTCGATTCTCCCAACACCTAAACCTTTCCCTTTACTTCCATTTTGCACCCCTTTCTTCTTTCCACAAAACACCATTAATAACAAAAGAAGAAGCAATAGCACCGAAGAGGAAACAACCGAAATGGCAACCACCCCACCTTTGCTTAGCTTCTTGTTGTCTTTTCGTGAAGTGGGTAGTCTTTGCGAGGGCGGAAATGTCATTTGTGGAGGAGGTAAAACACGATTTGTAGATGGAGAAGGTGAGGATGAAGAAGTTGGAGATGGAGTTGGTGATGGGGATGGGGTAGGGGTGGGGGAGGGGGAGGGGGAGAGGCATCGGGTAAGGGGTGGCCCACATAGTCCGGAGTTCCCTCCAAAAGATGAAGATGGGAATTTTTTCAAAGATGATGGAATAGATCCATTGAGTTGATTGTTACTTACATTAAAACTTTGGAGATTTGTTAAATTTTGGATCGAATTAGGGATGTTTCCGGTGAATGAATTGGAGGAAAGATCGATGGTAGAAAGTTGGGAAGAGAGAGAGGAGGGTATTTCACCGGAAAATTGGTTTTTGTTGAGATAAATATTGGAGAGAGAAGGGAGGGAAAGAATATCAAATGGGAGACTTCCATTAAGGAAATTGGAATGAAGGCTTAGGATTGTAAGGGCATTGAGATTCCCGAGAGTATTGGCCGGAATTGGACCATAGAGTCCAATTCCGGGCAACCGGAGAATGGTTACACGTTTTCCATTGCAACTGATTCCGGCCCATGATTTGCAAACCGAAGTGTTGTTTTTCCAGTTGAGTTTTCGACCTTGTGGCACACTTCTTGCAAAGTTGAGAAGGGCAATTTTGTCCGAGTTTAAATCGGCGAAACTTAGTGAAAAAATTATAAGAAGGTGAAACAACAAAGAGAGTAGCTTCATTGTGCACTTAGAGAAAGATGATTATCATGTGCATGTCTTTTTAGTTTCTTCTTTTATTAGTCCTGATATCATAAAAGAGAGGTATCAGTTAGAGTAAATTACATAAATGGTCCCTATGGTTTGAGTAATTTGCGCATTTGGTCCCTAACTTATTTTTTTAACTCGGAAGGTCCCTACTGATTGTTTTTATTACGTGTCTGGTCCCTATTGTTTGTTTTTGTTACGCGCTTGGTCCCTGTCATACCTAAAAAGACTATTATTTAAATAGAAAAAAATAATGCAGTACGTAAGGTAAGGTGAGAAGGGTGAGATTAGGGGTGTGTTTATTTAAATAAATTAAAAAATAAAGGGAAAAATAGATTTTTTAAGTAAGACAGGGACCAAGCGCGTAACAAAAACAAACAGTAGGGACCTTCCGAGTTAAAAAAATAAGTTAGGGACCAAACGTGCAAATTACCCTAAACCATAGGGACCATTCGTGTAATTTACTCTATCAGTTATTTGTACATTGAAAATGAAAAAAGGAGAGGAAATAGCTGTTAAAGTTTTATATAAAGAAATGGACATATTGTCTTTTTCCATTTGACTACAAAGGTGTTAAAGAATTTGTCATATTCTTATTTTGATTGTTACTATACTCTTATTAAATTACTAGTTTCTCATGCCAAAATAATCAACTTTTTATTAGTAGTTTAATAAAAAGGTTTGACATTTAGGTAAACAACTAAACTGCCATGATTACATGACTAAATAAATAATATATATTACGGACCATAATTAATACCAAACTAGCTTACTTGTGGTATTGTGTATATTTAATTCCAGTTTGATAAGCTTCTTCAGAAACTTCCAAAAATCAAAAAAAATTTAGAACCCTAAATGAAATCAGGAAGTTGTAAAAGAACAAATTAACCTTAATTAACTACTAAATCCGCGTATTCTACTATTGTGGCTTCTACATCTTGCTGTTTAAACTAAACCCTAGAAAACCTTGTAGCCAGAAAATTTCATGCTTCAGATGAATCAAATCTGGCGCCAAACTTGGAAAGTTTTCGAAGATTAGATTTAAAAGTAATCAAACAACTACACATAATATGCAAAAGTCTGAATATGTTTACTGTGAGAGAGAGAGGAGGAGGAGAGAGTACCGTTGAGTTGTCGGCGATCGTCAGCTATTAGAACTCTCCGGCGACCTGAAGCGCGAAGAAAACGGAGAAACAGCTTAGCAGAAGCCAATTACACAGCTAGATTCGCTTTTCACATACATTTCTTCTGTACAAATATAAAAAGCACGAATGCAACTACATTTTCCTTACCTTTCAGAGATTATGAAGCAGAATAGACTCTTTGAATTCAAATTACTCACACAATCTACTCACATGTGTGTGTAATCAAGGAGAAAAATGGCGGTTGAGTTGAGAGCTACTTCGTGAAGTAAACGGAAAGTTGTATGTAAACAAGAACACAGATCTCGAAATCGATGGCTTCCTTTCACACACACATAACAATGTGTGTGTGTGTGTGTGTTTTGGAGAGTGAATAAAGAAAGGGAGCAGAAGCAACTGCTCTGTTGACGATGGATGTTGGGGACAGGCAGTGCAAATATTATGGCATGAGTGGCTAGGCCGACGCGTTTTATATGGGATTAATTATTAAAAAATAAACACACAAATATGTTTATATTATTTTAATCCGTTGAATACATTTATAAAATAAAATTCATGTTTTATAAATAGATAAAAATATAAAAATATTGTTTTATAAATAATTCTTTAATCAGTAACAAAAAGTTACTAGATAATTAATTTTACATATTTAGTTATAAGTATATAGTTAGCATTTTTAGGTAAAAAACTGTGTTTTGTATTAATTTTGTGACATATAACAGTATTAAATAAACTAAAATTTTGTATAACTCAATCATTATGGAGTATATTCATTTTTTTGGAAAATAATTTATTTTCATTATTTTGGAATAGAAAATTTATAGGCCAACCGTAGAAATGTTAAATACACATATAGCTTTTTGGTACAACAAATCAACAACTTATCACCATACTTCATTGTTTTGAGTTTTTGAAAGTAGATTTATTAAATTAATTATTTTTAAAATATTACAATCTTTTCTTGCGTAAGTACATTACGTTTTGTAGGTTTGACTTTTTATTTATTCAACTACCCCATGAAAAATGACCCGTTTCTTCCATATAATATTATATTAGTATAATCATAATATCAAAAGTAGGATGTGTACGAAGATTAAGAGCCAAAAACGGTTTGAATTTTATCATATATTTATGAAAACTAAAATTATAATGAAAGAAAAAAATACGATAAGCAGGACACGATTATGGCAAATCTTAATAAAAAGCTCAAAACAAAAAAGTTAAATGAAGGCCTAATATATGCTAAAAAAAACCTCCCTCAAATTTACAGTATGATACCAATAACATTCAAAATTTGTTGGAAAACAACCAATAATATTCTTTCCTGGTGGTAGCGGTATGAAACCGTATGTATGGTATGGTAAAGAGTAGTCGATTTATCAATCATAACATCTTCCCAGAAGGGTGCTAGGGTTTGATCAATTCCAAAAGCAATTTAAAGAATTAACCTGCAACATAAATTTTAATTTTAATTTTCATTTACCCCAAAGATGATCGTATTATACATCAATAATCAACTAACCATAAAAGGTTTTGGACCATACATTTGATGCATACGTATCCTTTAATGCATGAGATGACAATCACAATTGATTGCCGATATCAATATCTTGCTAGACACCAAATTGATCAAACTTTATTCTTCCTCATTGGTTTGATGAATTTGTCTATCTCTATGAAATGAGAGGGAGAGGATTAGGGTTAAATTAGGTTGCTTGTTTTTTATTGGTAACCTGTGTTCCGATAACTACTTTATTGGGTTTTTTATTCAAAAATAGTTTCAAAACTCAAGATTTTAGCAAACGGAAGACTTTAAAATTTGAATAACATAAAACTAGTTTAAACCCATCAAGGACCTTCTTGCAAAATTTGGAAATAAACACATCAACCAAAGAAGGAAGAATAACAAAAGACAACCTTTGTAGCATTTGAATCCTCAAGTGGAGGCTTGAATGTTAATATAGAATGAAAGTAGAACTTTACCTTTAGAAATCCACCAACAAGAACTCAACTTGATGTAGATGTTAGTCTAAAACCCTTAAGCTCTTAAGCGTTAAGTGCATATCAAAATATGACTTAAAAGAGCATAAACAAGTAAGCAAAACTCCAAGTCTTGACAAAAGCTATAGAGAATACATGCATGCATGCATGTTACGATTTCTACAAGTGAGAAAAGAAAGAGTGAAAGCCTTCTCATAAAACTCACGCTTTAACCATAAGTCCTCAACACTTTAAGCACATCATGTTCCTAAAGTTTAAGTGTCCCCCATGCTTTTAAGACATACCATGCTTTTGATTAAACAAATCAAAAGCCCATGCTTCTTGTTCCTCCATCAACCTATGGTTTTAGACCAAATTTTATAAAAACTTCCAAACTCTTTTATAAGTTACAAACTTTGGCTTTTGGCTAAAAGACAAAAGTCTTTCTAGTCCAAAAAGATGTAGATTACTTAATAAATCATACCATATAATATATTATCTTACTTGCTAATGAAAATTAATATGTCCATGAAATAAATAATTTTCAATTAGTTATAAAAGTTTATTGAATATTTATTAAAATCAATTTCTAATAAATAATCAGTTGTATCAAGTTGTTGTTAATGTGACCCTTTAGGATCATATATTATCTAGCAATATCATTTTATAATGACTCTTGGGCATATAGATCATTTAATCTCTCACTTACACAAGACTCATTATATCGTGATATAGACGGTGGTGAATATCTAACAATATTTCACTGCCCCTAGTAATACATGACTTGGTGCCATTCTTGTAACATCCCGTTTCCTGCTATTTTGGGCTATGAGCTGGAAGTCGATTGTGTAAAGCTTGGGCCTTAAGGAGACAAAGCTTAGTCCTTGTAGAAGGAGGTAATGATAGTTAAGAGATTTAACCTTTAAATTGTGTTGGGCCGAAGCGTAAAAATGGAAAAGTCATAGGCCGGGTTGTTACATGAAATATGGATTTTTGTTCGAGAAGTTTTTAGTACAAGATATTTGGATAATTTTGTGGGCTCTTCAACACCTTTCCGTGGATATAAAGAATGTCGAAAATAGAGTTGGAATGAAGAAGTTATAACAGTTTGAATATAGTGATGGAGGTAGTAGTACACTGACACGTATTCAAGAGTGTACGTCGAGCCAATTGATGAAGGACTATGCGAGTTTATCACGTCTGAGATTATGAGAGGCATCCTTAAGGCAACCCCGGTGATGTTCGGGTCGATCAGGGGGGGGGTATTATCGAGTTGATGGATGAGCGTTTCCAGGCCTTTCGAGCTAAGCTGGCTTCCGGTCAATACGGAGCCCACACTCTCTCCCTCAAGGATTTCAGGGGATGTGTGACACCAGAGTTCTATGGGGCGAAGGACCCCATTACATCCAGATGATGGATAACAGATATGGAGTATGCCTAAATGACTAGCTTCTACCCTAAGGGGTCGAAGGTGAGGTTTGTTGCAGGCTGTCTGAGGGAGTGAGCCTGAGATTTGTGGGAGGAGGTTGGCCATTCTATGGGGACCCCAGGCATTGAGGCCATAAACTGAACGGATTTGGTAACCCGGTTCTGAGTAGATTTTGCACCAACTGTTGAAGTGCAACAGCTAGCGAGGGAGTTCCTGGATATGCGGCAGACGACTGGGATTGTAGCCGAGATCACCACCAAGTTTAGAGACAGGTTTATTGGTACCCCAGTATGCGGCAGATAAGGATACGAGGAAGGCTAGATACCACGGCATAGGCTAGATACAACGACATGTTGAGATCAGATATCAGGGAGTTTGTTAGCTTTTCATCCTATCAGATATTGGAGGACATGATATATTGGGTT